CATTTATGAAAAAATGAACAAGCACTAAATTGTTTGTAATATCAAGTTGTTGTTATCAATAAACATATTTGTGAGAAACAAACTTTTTTGAAGCTTTTATTCTGATCTTCAATCTTCGCTTGGTGACCCTAAATACCTTTTGAAGTTTATCAAGACAATTGAACTTTATTCTTTAAGCAAAAATATACTAATTTTATCTAGAGACCAATTTTAACGTAGTGACTGGCTCGTGTGCTAATTAACTCCATACGACAAACAAGCAGAACCAAAACTATAGTATGTCAATTTTTGTGGTTCCATTTGCGCATTATTCACGCTTTTTTTCCCTTTTAGTTTCGTTAAATACTTGTAAAGAATGTCAAAAACCGTCTGTTTTTCCTCATATAAGGATTTGTTTGTTATTTTAAGTCTGCTAAGAACTGCAGTGAAAAAATTAATAATTACATTCTCATACTTCATACGAATATTTCGCACATTAAGTATTAGGGGACCGGAAAGTAATATTGTTTCGGCGCGTTAAATATTCGTTAGTCTTAAAAACCAATTCATTTTTTTTTCTCGTTTCATTTTCGATTCAGCATTGAAAGGTTGTTGCTAACGAGGGTGAACATAAAAATAAAATCTCGATAACAAATGCACCTAAACGACATTACTTTCCGGTCTCCCTAATATATAATACCAAGAAACAAAGATAAATACTTGATTAAAATTATGACGATCTTAATTCATAATTTTTAAAGTCAGAATTCGTAATTTTTTTAAAGCAGAAGAATTTTTATTAAACTTCTTCACACATTGTTTAGCCTTGACCTTAAAGAAATAAATTTCGCTTGACAAACATCTTAGAAGCTAAAAAATAGAAAATCCCCTTTGTAGACTGTTTTTGTAGTGCGCTAAGAATTTAATGAAACAATGAAAATAAATTTATCACTTCATTGTGTCGAGTCCAACCCTTTATACGTAAATCTCTCGCAAAATATTTCTCACATTGTGTTTCGCAAATTGCATCGTATTTTAAGTTTCTAAAAAAACAGCCCCGGTTCTTTTATCTTTTAACAATTTTTTGATGCATTGTTTGAAAACATGATATTTAGTTACAATAATAGCTGCAGTCATTGTAACTCTTCTTATTGTTTTTAAATGATAATATATTATTGTAGCTATGTTTTTTTTAATGATAGTGATTGACAAAATTATACGGATATTAAAATGCAATACGGATGTTATTTTAACACTTTAAACTCTTAGTGACTTCAAATTTATTTTTCCGCGTATCTATTAGTTTTATACATTTTTACTTATTTCGTTATTATTTCATTATATTTTATTTATCCTTACCACCCTGATCTGCACCATACCTGGGACAGGAGAGTACGCGTGATATAATTTTCTGTTAATAGATAAAAAAATATATTCTTCTGTTTTCTTAAAATATCATTTTCCAGAAAAGGAAATATGTATATTGAAACATTTGCTGCACTTTTAAATTTAGTATTTTTAAAGCATATTTTAAACCCCGTTGCCCCACTTTCCTTTACATAATTAGACTCTAGAGTAAAAGGTCTCTTTGATGCTATTTTGAGATGAAGTTATTTTCTTTATTATATAAAGTAACAACTTTTTACTTGGAGAGCAAAAAGCACTAAGAATTTTCCTTTTTTGAGGAATTGCTACTTCAAATACCTTTCTGCAGTCCGCAGTATGCATATTCCGACTTATGCTAATAGAAATAACGCTACTCAATTCATTATAACTAGCTATCTCCTCATTTCTTCTAGTTCTAGTACGGCAAATTTAATCCGTGTTTTCTATGAGTTTGAAAATCCTGTTTTGCTGACAGAAACTGAGTTTCAAAACCAGTGATCTCCTTATCTGCCACTTTTGATTAAGATTTCAATTATTATTTGATGTTGTTGTGCTTGCGCCTCTGATTGTGTAAACACACAATTGTTAATTGAGTTTCAAGATTCTTCTCAATTAGAAAGAAACTTGAATAAGCAATGTCTCCCTAATAAATCAAAAGAAAACAATAGAGAGGCGATCCTACATCACGGAGAAAAAAAACGCAGAATTTCTAACCGTGTAACATGTTTACTATGTTCACTTTTGGTCTCGGGTTTCGATTTATTAATTTTTTTAATCAAAATTCACAGCTGTCATTGTCGGACATTATTTAAGCACTACATAACAATATTATTTACTCATCACTAGTTGATATTTCAAGTGCATCGTATTATGAATACACCTAATTCAATCACCAAAGAAACTTATATATCTAATTATACAATATTTTCCGTTTGTCATTTATTGTCGGTCCCTCAAACCTCTAGAAGCTTTAAACTTCATTCATAAGTAGAAGAAAATTCCTAAATTTATAAAATGATTCTCTTAGTATTTTTTGGGAAAGCTCAAAAAATGTGTTAGTATCGAAGTGTTTCCATTATTTTGTCCAACCCCTGTGAGTGTGTGTGTGTATATATATAGTTAAGAAATATTTATTTATTTTATTATTTATTAATTTTTTCTAAAGTGCGTTGTGATTAAGTTTTACTTAATTCAATTTTTATTTGATGTAAAATAATTGAAATACACATTTTTGTCTGTATGCAATTTTAAAAACTCAGTACTTGAACGACAATTCAAAATAAAATTACACCTTGTTTTAAAAAACACTGTCCGAGTTAGATGCTTCTGTAAATCCCTGTTCTGATTTGGAACTGAATGAGCTCATGGCATTATATGGTTCGAAAGGATCCTCAAACACACTGTCTGGATAGAGTTATACTGCAGATTATTTAAACATTTTCTTTAAAATATGAGGTGAAATCAGTGAAGGGAGGTTACCCTTATATTTTCAGAGACTTCTAAAGGTTATGTATATGAAATTGGTTTTCTAAAAAAATTATTTATTTTTAAGTGTAATTTCTTTTTCTTTATAATCTTTAAAAATTTTGTATTTTTTAAAGCAAAATTCGAGAAGTAGTTAAACAAATAATATCTTCCCTCGCCAAACTTTCAATTTCTTTCGCTTTAAGTTACAAGTTCTTAGCTTTTCCAATTAATTTTCTGTATTCATCCACTATTTTCTTACACTTTCCTGGGGTCTTCGAACGCAAATATATACCAAATTTAGTAAAAATAAAAAATTCTAATTTGTTTCTTTATATTTTTTAGAATTTGCATGTTCTGTAATTCTTGCAGGATGTTTTTGCTAACATGGACATTTAGTCTAATAATAATGATGAATGTAACTATTTGTGTAAAAAAGTAAGAAAATCTAAAAAAAATTTTGAAATTTCGTAAAACAAGGTTAATCGGAACTGAGTTTCATAAAAAGTTTCAATACTTCTGAATTTCTGGATAATTTAGTATAGGTAGGTCACACAATTGTCCCTAAAGTTGTTCTTTCAAGGCTCTGTCGTCGCATGAAATGATGCTTTTTTGCGAATAATATGATATGTTTACAACTGTTTTGAGTTTGAAATAGTTACTGTTAGGTCAAGCTTAGCCTATTTAAGCCAGAGCCTTATTAAGCCAATGTGAAAAAAAAAACAAGAGTTTTGAGAAAATGAAAAAAGTTTGTTATCTAATTGTTCGATATTTTATAACTTACAACAGTCCGGCATTATCTGGGTTAATAAAAATTTGCAAAACATTAGAAGAAGGCATTGATTTTGATAATCCAAATTTTAAAATCCAAGATTTTGATAATCCAAGTTTAATAATTTTAAAATATTTAAATTATTTTTCCGATCCAATGCCCTGATAATTCTTTAAGGCAAGATGATAGAAGATATATAGTTTAAAATGCTAGCTTTGGTTCAAGTGCAAAGCACTTAAACTATGTATTTTTTATTTTCCTTGGCGAAAGAACTTTAAAAGGTTTACCCAACTCTGGGTGAAACACAAGACGCCATCTGATAAAGACGGCAGAGACAAGACTGCATTTTTTGCACTATAATGTGTACAGACTTTAGCAAAGTTTAAACTGGATTTGCCTGAAGCAGTAATAGTAAGATTGAAAAATCCATATTCATTCAACCGATTGGAATTAATAATTTAGCAGCATTTGCACTGCCAACCAATAGAAAAATCAACGAAAGGGACAAAAAAAAGAAGGAAAAAAAAAGAATCAAAATTGAGATTTTTTTTTTATCTATTCGGCATTTTTGGGTGGCAATGTGTTGCAACTTTTTTTTCACGCACCATTTTTTTTTATTAGTTACCTGATATTTTAGAGCTGATAGTATTAGCAATGGAAAGAAAATGGTTGTTAAGCTGCTTCTTTTTCAAAATTTGCTCTAACTTCCCCAATTGCACGGCAATGTAATGATTTTCACCATATTTTCGCTGCCCATAGAATTCTTTTTTACGGAGTTTACAGTTATCACATCTCTAATTTCCATATTTTTTAGCCTATAAAATGGTGGAAAAAAAGTATTTTATCACTCTATTAAACTAAACTAAGCTAAACTCAGTGGCACGACAGCCCATAGAGGGCCAAGGCCTACTGTGCCCTTCTCAGTTTTCTTGACCTTGGGCTCTGGGGTGCAGGAGCAGATGTTCCGGTCAGGCGGAACCCCCAGTGTTTAGTTCCCGAGCATGCTTGGTACTCATTTATCGACCCACTGAAGGGATGAAAGAGAGTCACTCTATTATCGTTATAATTTTATAAACCTGCCGCCAATCAAAATCAATTACTTGACGCCTCTATACATTTTATTTTTCACGGTGCAAATGCGATTGATTCGTAAAAAGTGAAAATTTGAAGGAAATTTTTAATTAATTGAAATTTAAAGATTGAATTTTTAATGAAATGTAATTTAAATTATTCAATCCATAAAAGTTCTTTTGGTCTTACTATTTTTTCTATTATCAATTGAAATATTTGAAGTTTTTTCATTAGTAAAGTTTTTGTTCCTTCCTGTTATTTAGTATATTTTCTTTTTATAATTAAATAAAATTAAATTTTTAAAAGAAAATAAGAATTTTTTTTTCAGCTGAAGTTATTGCCCAAGGGGTGGTTGAAACTTTGCATCAGATACTATGATAAAGATAATGGTAAGTTAAGTTTTCAATATCTCATTTTAAGCAAAAAATGTATGTGATAAAAAGGGTATTCTCGAAGATTCGCCTTAATTATATATTTTTAAAATTCTTCAAAAAAAAATTACTTGTCAGTCAGATTATGTAAGGTCATCCAATCCTTATTCAAATAAAAAAAAATAAAAGAAAAACCTTTATTTTTTTTTTTTATACTTCGATGCTTACCATTAGTATTAATAATAATAAATTTGTAACCTATTTTGATTATTAATTTGAACTAAAGCTGATTATTAATTTTAGTTAAAGAAATTGAACGAAACAGAGGAAAAATAATCTATATGTGCCAAGCTTCAAGAAAAATTCAATGTTAGGTTACTTTAATATTTACACAAATAAACCCTCACAAAAATGTAATAAATTAAATTTTACTGCTATTCCTATCTATACAAAGCACTATTAAGTATTTTAGGGACCGTAGTTTGTGTACCGATGAAGATTTTAAAGAGAAGTTTTCACATAGATTAATTTATATTTATATTTGTTTTGAAAAATTTAAACTAATTAAGGGATAAATCTTTGGTTTAATATGCTGTCATTTTATTGAAAATAAATTTTAAAAAATATTGCACACTCTTTACATCTTTAAAATTTTAAGCAATTAATTGTAAACAAGTGATGACATTATCTGTGCATTTTGCTTCACAACATATGATTGAAATACTAAGAATAACTCTTTTTTTCCCCATTCTAATGAAAAAGAAGTTAACCGATATAGAAAAAGTTAACAATTTCTTTCAAATATTTGTGTTTTTTTTATAAACTTTTATTCTTTTCCAAAAATATTTTATAAAATATAAAATGAAAGCTTTAATACACAATTTAAGGTGCTCAAATTATCTTTCTTATGGCTCAGAAGACTATCTCAGACTTAAACCCCGCAGAAGAAATAAATATATATGTTTTTATACATTTTGAGATTATCGAAAAATATACCAAAAAATAACACGGAATATATGTACCGAAATATATGAAACTAAAAATATACAGAAAAAAATACGCAACTTTTTTTCGACAATCACTGTGGTATGAAATGTCTGTATAAAGCCATCTAAATAATCACAACACTTTGATTTTCCAGTTTAAAATGTGTGCAAAAAAAACTGTTACTTCAAATAACTGCAACAATAGTTTTCTTTAAAACTTTCAAAACAACGAATTCTTAATTCTGTCACTGTGCAAACCAATAATGTTACTTTTATAAATAGAATAAATTATTTAATGCATAAGCTAAAGTTGTGTGCATTAACGAACAATAAAAAAAAAATCAGATAATAGAGAATGAAGATCGTCTTACTTCCCCATAGTTCTAAAAATGTCTTCGTCAGATGCGTGTGTTCAAAAATGAAGGATGTCTACGCGAAAATCCCTTTCTTTGCCAAAGAAGATGGGATTCAGTAATCACTTTTTTGAGTGAGATCCATCAACGCAAAGAAAAAAACAACATAAATTACATAATCAACACTATCACAATTCTTAATTTCTGTCTATTTCGGTGTAGATTCCTAACCAGAGGGGAATTTTATACTTTCAGAAGGGATTTGATGACATTTAGTTTTGACATCAAAAAAATGAATTTAGAATATGCTTTTCCTAACTGTCTGATAAGAAATTGAATCAAGCTCTAAGTTTATTTATTCTCTTTTTGAAAAAGTTCTCGATATTTTGCAACATGAATTTCTTTGAATGAAAAAATGATCCCACCAAGATGGAATTTTAAAATTGCTTTGTTGTAACTTTATAACTACGTTAGATACAGGAGCTCTAGCTGCGAAATAATAAATATTTTGACAGAGGCAACGTCTTTTAAAAGTAATACCCATGTTCAATAATTTAAAACAAAATTATTATAATATTTATAAACCTTCAATTACTAAGAAATAAATATATTTATAGTTTAAATACTTTCTAAAGCTTTTCTTGTTTTAAAATCCGAATTTTTAGATATTGATGAATCTGAGATTTTGAAAGATTTTGAAGATGAAAAAGTAAATCACCTCCTTCGCAGGCGTCGTGGGGCTATTAAACATCAAAAAGTACACGAGGCTAAAGGTCACAAATTTGTAGCAAGATTTTTTCGCCAACCCACCTTTTGTGCTTTCTGTAAAGAATTTTTATGGTAAGATCTCATCTCTATTGAACAAGTGTCATATTTTCTTATGTCCTTATTCATTTAAAAAAAATTGGGAAATCAACTAATGAAATTCAACTTGAAAGAAAAAACGTTTAAAGGAAGGGAAAAAAAACTAACAAAATATAGAATCATTTTTGTCTGTACGAGGTATTTGTACCAGCAAGTAAAAGTGAGTAACCTTAGAACCCAGATTTCCAATAAAAGAAAGTATTTAGCTAAAATATTTTTTACATGCAAGTTTGTCTAAAAATAATTAAATAAATTATCCGGTTTCTTTTTAAAATTGAAAGACTATGGATCATAGAATTAAAAACAACGATGTAGGCCATAAGATGTTTCTGTCTACTTTGATGTTATCTTGTGAAAAATCTGAAAACCTGTAACGCACTTATTTGGAAACAATATTATGGAACAGTGTGGCCCTTCAATTAAAAAAAGTATTTCTAACTTAAAAGGACAGCAATACCACAAAACTCTAATTATAAAAAATTTTTACTGATTCAATAACGGAAAATTATTAGTGTGAATTTCTTTTTAAAACCATTCCTACATGAAACAGGGTAAAGATTAATGCAAAAAAAAAAAAAAAAAANAAAAAAAAAAAAAAAAAAAAAAAAAAAAAAAAGAAAACACTTAGTTTTAATAATATGAATCCTTGTTTCTTGTTTAAATATAAGGAACATTAGCACCCCATGCGGATATAGTTGCGTCAATAATCTTACATGTTCGGAATCCATGTTTCTTTTAAATGGAAGAGATTGAAAATTTTAGATTTCTACGCATCTTGTTTAAATAGTATTAATTTTTGCCTAAATAGAATTTTTTGCTCCTTTTAAGAATTATTTTACAACGTTGAGTCTTGGGGAGAAAACTTTTTTCTCTCAATTAGAATATTAAATTTTAAAAAAAATAAAGAATTTGATTAACGGTTTTGCTTTGAGAGTGGAGTTAAATTACTCTTATTTATTTTCTTTGCATTGATTTAATTTTGGAAAGAGTTTTAAATGCTGTTTTACAAATTGCTTCGATAGATTTATGAAGTTGATAGATTTTTCATATTTAAGTTACAATCAGGAATTAAAAAAAAAAACGAATAATGAATAGAATGAGATATAAAAGAGTTCAAACTCAGTCCCTAATGCAAGGATTTTAAGCATCAGAAGACACGTCAGGAAATTTGATTATTGCATAATTTTTTTCCCTATTAGCTTGAAATTTTTCTCATTATCTAAAAAAAATAGAATGACTTGGAAAACTACAAATTGGTGACAGTTCAATTTTAATAACAATATGGCTAAAGCCCACATGAGAGGGCCATATTGTTACACGAGAACGCAGGCCAGGCCAGATGGTATACTTATATACCTATATGGTATACTTTTTCATAAAATACATAGATAATTCATAAATAAATGCAAAGATAACTCATAGTTAAATGCATAGATAATCCAATAGATCAATAATCTTTAATCCATACATCTTCCGACTTAAAAATTTTTTTTTCTTTCAAATTTCGAAAAAATAGTGTCCGGTTTGAAGAGATGGAAAATAACGTTTCAGGGCAAAGGTGACTGTCTGGTTACGGCAGTGTCCGCTTTGCAGAGAATGTGCGTAATGGTTTTTTCAAAGAAGATTCACGGGGAATTAATATGTCCGTATTGAGTGGCGTCCGTTCCGCAGGAGTGTCCATAACAGGAGATATATATTTTTTAATCCTATCAAATCGAATAAAAATGGATTTAATCATGCTTGCAAAAAGATAATTGAGTCTCCAAAACAGTTATTTCTTAACTAAATAATTTTCATTTTTGGAGATGAAGAATTGTTTTTTCATTCTGATAAGAGCAATTTTATTCAAGGAATATTTTAGGGAAAAAAATTTCCTTGATGGTTGGACTTTTCCCTGTGTATAACAACACATAAACTGTGTACTTAATTTCTTTTTCCTTTCAGGGGTTTTGGAAAGCAAGGCTATCAATGTCAAGGTAAATATTTTTGAGTCTTATTCTCAGTGGTATTAAAATGATGGATTTGAAACTTCTATTTTGGGGAATTTTTTGAGTGTGATTTACATATAATTACACAAATGTTTTTCATTCTGTTTTATATAACTTATAAAAAACTTATCCAGTGGTCTTATCATCTATTTATTTTTGTCATCAGTGCTATTTCAATCAGTAGTTCTAATTAATACCTTTGTTACTTTAAATGAAATCAATTCATGTCTATTTTAGCTCAAAATGAAATTAATGATGAATTTATTGAACAAAACTTTTTTTTAATCTATTTTGTGAAATATCTCGAAACCTTTGGATACTAAATAATGAGGAAGTTTAGGTTTTACAAGCTAAAAATTTTACTTCTAAAAGAATTTTCTGCTTTTTTTTATACGCAGCATTTTTCTTAAAGATCTTTAGCACTTAAATAAAAGTACTTTTTTAAACTTCTAATGTAAGAAGGAAATTCAAAAACTCTGGAAATCTAAGGGTCTGTCGATATTGTCAACGCGTAAACTTTAAAGCCAATTTCGTGAAGTGTTGCTAAATATTTCACATTTCTTACTGTAACTTACACAAAACTCTTAAAAAGTTAATATTATACAAAAACTGGTAATTTCAACACGTTTAGGACCGACGAAAACACTCTGAGAGCAAAAAATAGTTTCCGCATTTTGAGATCCGCCGCTGGGACGTGAAGCGAGGAAGAACTATATTTCATTGAGAGTTCTGAAGTGCCGCTTAGATAACAACTCTGCCATTATTTTAAAGTTCATTTTGTCATGTATCGAGAGGGTTCGAATGAATTGTTGGCTGAGGTTCATCAA